TTTCAACCATTCCACCCGTAAATATGGATCGAATCGTCTTACTGGAGTACGTTGCGTCCGCAGATGATGTTACATAGTATTTTCATCGCCGACAATCGCCGACAACCGCCGGCTTTGCCTGCGAAGTTGACTCAGCTCCCTCAGCTCAACTTCGCAGGCAAGCCTGGGACAATGCCTGAGACAGATTATGATTCGACGATAAATGTTCACATATATCCCATAACTTGAGTTTGTTAGCACGCGAGGGCAAAACGCGAGAGAATTCCTCTCATGGCTAACCCTAAATTGAAGAAAGCTACAAGAATGAAGAATTCTATTGCGCTGCTAAAACTCTCCAACCTCTCTCCAACCTTGTTGTAATGGCGTTTTGCCATATCGCGCTAACAAAGTCGGCTATCTTCCGGAAGGGGGTGTTTCACGAACATTTGGGTGGGGGTGTGCGGCGCGTCTACAATTTAAAACAAACAACGCTATTTTCCCTACTCTTTTTCAAACCTAATCCTTACATGTAAATCGATATACACTATATTCAGACAAGGCCTTACCCAACAAGTGCCTCGGTTCAGACAAGAGACATATGAACTAGAAAAATAGAAAAGTTAGCTTAAGTTGAGTAATAAGCTTATCACCTTGTCTAGGTGATATGCTTCTGGTTTCACACTCTCGTATTCTCGGTTTCAGACTGGAAATAGCTTACAATAGAGGCTCATGCGGGAAAATATCATTAAAAAGAGATCAATATCATTTGTATTTGAAACGACTTCGTCCATTAGCCTCGGTTGCTAGCTAGTTCCAGTCCAAAACCGAGAATACAAATATAGTCTAATGCTGACCGGAATATGTAAACATTTTTCAGACCAAAATGTTCAAATTCGGACCAAACTGGCTTCAAAACTACAGGTATACCCTCAGCGATAAATCCGGTCTAACAAAACGTTCCCAAAATAATTTTAAAGCAGCTTTTAAAAAACGGCATTCAATAGAATCTACCACCGCGGACTGGCAATCCAGCAGCGCGACTTAGAAAGAACTCCACTGTGCCATATAGTCTACAAAATAATACCATTTTTGTTGGTTATGACGTCATATAAAGTCAAATGACGTCATCAGACCCGCATTCTTGGGTCCACCATCTCGGATTTTACTATTTTCTTAAAAAGTCAAGAAATAACAGAAATTAGTACAAAATCAAGTCAGAATGCAAATTCATGAATTTCTTCAATTTGAAGATAAGTGAGAAATACAGAATTATGTTAAAAAGTTGATTTTTGGCCACACCTACACGAAATTTGCGGTTGCCATGGCAACGTTAAAAGTGATGGACACACAATTGACATATCAACATTTTCCCGGAGCCGTGATGAATGAACAGCCACTGAAAGTTTACGTACATTCATGCATACATACATAAACTTTATTTAATCTCGGATTTATAGAGTAGCTAGACTTAGCTAATATCTCAGAGGAAAGGTAAAAGAACAAGGTTAAAAGTACTAAATGGCTAAATAATTATGTACATATAATATTTCCTAACGATAATTTATAGAATATGATAACCTACAAATTGCGCATAAAATTATAATTGCGGATAAGCCGCTCGAAGACGTTAAGTTTCAGGCTCTTATAAAAGTAAATCGTCTTTTCAAAACTTTGAAGAAACCTTATAGGGGGTGGCATCGTATCACTTTCCGAAAATAAGTAAACAGGTATAAATCACAAGAATTGATTGTCAATGAGGGTCAGATCGGGCCCGATCAAGGCAGGTCGAGTTGTATTTCCTAGAAAAACCGGAAGTAATAATGCACTCCCGTTTACTTTGTTTCGCGTTTATTTTACACTTATTTGGTTTAGCAGTGGAGTCAAGCAAAAAGAGCCAATTCGTTGCACATCAGCCAATCATTGGCCACGGTTGAGTAATAACACAGCAAATTCTCAGTAAGATTGAGACTTTCTCGGAAATGATGAATAAATTATAAAGTATCGATTACGCCGATGAGTCAGCCATTATCTCGTTAAGAAAGAAGCAGTTTCTCGACCCAAAAAGAATTTAAAATGCTTAAAAAGGATCAATGTTGGCGTTGTGACACCATTTGTTCACCTCCATCTCCAAAGATCGCCTGTAGTGGATGCGGAATAGCGCTTTACTGCAGCAATGTATGTAAACACAGCGATGTGTTTCGGCATCAGGTTGATTGTCAAACGGCTGCCCTGAAGAGGAAGTGTGCTGGATGTGGAAAGGAAAAAACAGGACTGAGGCCTTGTGGTAGCTGTCGAAAAGAATGGTACTGCGACAAAGAATGCCAAAGGAAGTCTTGGCCGACACACAAGACTGACTGCCAAGCGATAAGCGCAAAAACAGAAGAGTTGTCCCGCCAGTTAAAGTTTGGCTACGACTTGAAGAAATCGCTCACAGGTCCAGGTATGGGAACCGTCTACTATTGGGGAAACATGCCAGCCGTGGATCTGATCAACTTGCCGTTGAACGAAGGTGTCCAGTATAACAAGCCTTTATCGATTCTTGTTTGCGGCGTTGGTGACCCGAGAAATGTTGTACTTTCCTTGTCTCAGCTTCCAGACAGCTATAAAGAAGAACTGACCTTCGTTTTGAACGACATCTGCCCTTGTGTGATGGCACGTACAGTTCTTTTACTATACATGCTTATTGAAGGTTAGTTATACTTTTATATTTAGGATATATTAATGCTGAGTAAAACAAGGTTAGGTAGAGCCACATTCTCGAGCTATTTTGTATGGTCCAATCAGGGGTAATTTTATCCCGAAAAACTAGACGCTCTAAGAGCGTTTACTCGGGCTTCGCACTGCAGTATTAAATCGTGCTTTCCGAAAACGCGACCGTATACGTATAAGACACAATAAAATCAAATTAAAGAATTAGGATATTTTAGCAGCAGAGTTCCGCTTAGATATTTACTATTCAAGTTGCTTCGTTGAGTATCCTCCTAATCCAATCGCAAGTTGTGAGTTTAAACCATTTTGGTTCAGGAATCAAGCACAGCTGTCTACCAGGTGATCTGACCGTAAATAATTAACCAATCATCTTCAAGGAGAAATTATTTTTAAAGCCGCACAGAACTCTTTGCGCGCCTAGTAGAGCTTGTCCTGACCTTCGGC